CTAAGATAGAAAAGTCTTCAGATAGGAGGTGGTATTTGAGTGGTCTTGAAATATGAGTAGGTATTCACATGGTAGATAGAAGTAAAAAGGGAAGATGGAAGAATAATCAAAAGAAAAGGGGGGTCTAGAGAGAACAAGATATGCAAAAGCATGATGGCATGCCATTACATGGTATGTTCATACATTTGTAATCAGACCAGAGTTGGGCATGCATCAGAAAACATCAGGGGACATGTTAGAAAAGTAGGCAAGGGCCAGCTCACAAAGGGCCATATGTGCAAAACCAAGAAGTTTGTATGTTTTTCTAGTAGATGCAGGAAGACTTTGTAATAGAAACTTTGAGTGGATTCTTATCTTTTCAGAATAAACATTTGAGGGGCCCCTGGGTGGCTGAGTCGGTTAAGCACCTGCCTTTGGCTCAGGTCATGATCCTGGGGTCCTGGGATTGAGCCCCACATCAAGCTCCCTGCCCAGCTGGAAGCCTGCTTCTCCCTCTCCCACTCCCCCTGCTTGTGTTCCCACTCTAGCTCTCTCTCTGTCAAATAAACAAATAAAAATCTCCATTAAAAAAAATTAAACATTTGAGGGGCACCTGGGTGGCACAGTGGTTAAAGCCTCTGTCTTCGGCGCAGGTCATGATCCCAGGGTCCTGGGATCGAGCCCCGCATTGGGCTCTCTGCTCGACAAGGAGCCTGCTTCCTCCTCTCTCTCTCTCTGCCTGCCTCTCTGCCTACTTGTGATCTCTGTCTGTCAAATAAATAAATAAAATCTTTAAGAAAAAAAATTAAACATTTGAAATCTAAGATCTGTGTGGAGAGGTTGAATTTCCAAAAATTGTTTGGTTTAAAGAACAGTACACATGAGAAGGGAGCTTTGCCTCTCTGAGAGGTGGTTATACAGTGTATAGTAACCAGTTATTTTCAGTTCCCACTGAGGACAGAGCAAAAGAAGTAAGCTTAAATCTCAGCAGAGGTGAAAATTACCTACGGAAGGGGTCCTTCACAAAAAGATTGAATGTGGCTGATGTAGATGATTAAAATGTTGTCTCAGGCTCTCTGGCTGTGCTGGCAACCACCTAATTTCAAAGACAGGGCAAAGACTAGATTTTCAGGCTTGAATGAAAGTATTTGGAAAAAAATATATTTTATGTGGTAATTAGTTATTCATATATTTTGCTATCTGCCTCAGTTACAGTGTTGGAAATGTATTAGAAGTGTCAAATGTAAAAATTATCTTCCATAATATAGCTTTCATGTTTATTAGAAAAAAGATAAAGCTATCAGAATTTGCTGTGTATATAGGTGTTGTTCTGTTAAAGGTATTTTATATTCATTTACCATTTCAGAAATTTATTAAAGAATAGATAGATACAATTAGTATAAATTTAGTTATTAATCTTTATGTGTAACATTTTTTGGTCAGATGGTTATATTTAAAATCACTCTGGTTTACTAAATGATGGTGCTCTATCAGTGAATATAGTGAATTGCTCTGTCTTATTTTTATTGTTATCATTAGTTGATAATAGCCTATTAAAATATTATAAAATGTTTTTAGCTCTTTCAAGTATTTCCAATTTCTGGAACCGCTGTTTGTGTTTTTATTATGTGGAAATATATGCAAGACATAAGATTGATTGTAGGGTTTTTTTTTTATCCTTTTATATCTTACAAAGAGAAGTCATATATCTATCTAATACCTCTGCCTAACTGTGGCTGGTGAGAGGGAGACAGGGAAAGCATAGGCAGGGTTGCTAAAAGGCACTTGACTCCTGATGGAAGCAAACCTTGAAATATTGACAATATCCTCACTACTGAGACTTAGGCAATCAGGACAAGTATTAATGGAATCTTTGATGTTAATGAAAATTAACATAATTTCAAGTTAACCAGATATCAAATGGAAATCAATTTTATTTCTTAATAAACCCAAACACTTTGGAAGTGGTTTTACACATACTCAGATTAGATTACTTTTGTATTACCCCAAGAGATGTATGTATCCAACTAGAATACTTCAAAGAGCAAATTATTGGATAAAGGCCATTGACCTTTATAATTGATAAAGGGGAATGTTCTTAGTTGCCTTCTGTGTTGACACTGAACAACACAATATGTCCTGAGAGAGAGACAGTGCCTAATGTGTGAATGGTGTAGATGCAGTTAAGAGAGGCTGAAGACATGATAATACAAAGTAAATATAATAGGTCAAAAATTATTTCCCCCTGTATTTTAATAGTATCTATTTATTTTAAAATGATTGGTCTAGGGGTCATACATATAGAGAAAAATTAAAAAGACCACATATTTGTCACAGTTATTCCCTGGCAGTTTGAAACCTTAAAATAGATTCTGTGTGAAGTTATTTAAAAAATAAATATTACGATACAGATTTAACAGTTTGTCTCCCATACCAAATAAGATATTCTTCAGCTTGACAAAAGACGCACTTGTCCATGTTTGCCCATGCTTTGAAAGAAATATTTCAGTTTTTTTTTTTTTTTTTAAAGCATACCCGTGCTCTGTCTGTAACTCTCTGATTTCAATGAAGATACCAAGATATTTCTTTAGCTGAAATTTTATGGTTCACTTATCTTTTTGGAATGTAACCATTGCCTCTACTAAATTTCTTAACAGGAATTAAATTAATGGACCTGACTGAATAAATATTTATCAATTAAAAATTGTTTCTGAAAATTAAGTATTTATGAGTATGCATGCCAAAAGCTGGTTTTTTTTTTTTTTTTTTTTTTTTTTTTTTTTTTTTTTTTTTTTTTTAAAGATTTTATTTATTTATTTGACAGAGAGAAATCACAAGCAGGCAGAGAGGCAGGCAGAGAGAGAGGAGGAAGCAGGCCCTGCTGAGCAGAGAGCCCGATGCGGGGCTCGATCCCAGGACCCTGAGATCATGACCTGAGCCGAAGGCAGCGGCTTAACCCACTGAGCCACCCAGGCGCCCCCCAAAAGCTGGTTTTTAAATCACCCATAAATCTGACATATGAGCATAATGCTATTTTTCCCTTTTTGTGTTTTCCTTTCCAGTGTTGGCCATGTGCATTTAAAATATTTAAAATATATATATTTTTAGAACTTGGTGTCCTGAAAAGTTAGGTAGAGTTTTGTTGTTATTATTAGTGGTGGTCATGGTGTGTGTGTGTCCGTATAGTTTCTACAGGGTTTTTAAAATAATAGATCAGTTCCCTTTCCTTCAGGAAGATGTACCTTTAATTTTCCCTACACACCTAATTTTTTTAGGAGTAAGGAATTCAGGTAATTTGTGAGAAAAAAAAGAAAATGTGAATTTTCTTATAAATTGTAATATCCAGCATACTCTGAAAACGTTGCACTTTGTAAACATGTAACACTATAATCCTAGGTATAGACCTCTCTTTAGGAACATGAACCTCCCACTGATTACTCTAGGGCACAAACCTTACTTAACACAAATTGCCCTTGAAATGTTGTTGAGGTTTGTTCTTGTAGCTTGTCCTTAAATTGTGTCATTTTAACCTTGTAGTGCTTAAAGGTGTTAGGAAGATCAGCAAGATAATACAAAATTTCAAATATTTCACCTATGCGGGATAAAGTAATCCTGGAAATTCTAAAAGCAATCACTGTGGCCCTGTGACCACCTGAACTTTCAACATCAGGCCTCCTGTGGTGGTTTGTTTTGAGCCTAGAGACTATATTTCTTTTAAGTTCTCTATATCCTGGGGACATAAATAATTGTTAAAAAGCTATAGTACAAAACGGATTCAGTATATGTCTGACTGATTAAATGTGATGTTTTTTTTTTCTTTGTCACTAAAACAGTAGCTATTAAATATTCAGTTAATTACCTAAGTATGTTCTACAGCCTTTTCATAAACCTGTCTGGGAAAAATTTATTCTAAACAGAGTAATCCTTAAGGCTAAAAACCCCAAATTAGTATGCATATCCGTGGGCAAACCCTTCATCTAAGGATTATGGAATTAAAACACCTAAGAGAATCAGAAAACTTGATACTTTATTCCTTATTTATCCTTTGTTTGTAGGTAAATCCTTGATTCTTCTGCAGCTTAGCCTAGTATGAATGTTACATTAAAGAAAACACTTAGATTTGCATCATAGATTTTTTTTTGTCCAATACTTTAAAGATTTTTATTGTTCTAACTATAGCATCCCCTTTCTAAAAGTATCTCTGAAAAGGAAATACCATACATAAGCAGAAAAAAAATTGTCATCACAATTGTGTGGTCAGATTCTATTTATAAATCAGCATAAGAACTTTCCAGTTTTTCTTATTTGATGGCCCATACAAGTAAAAGAGGATAAAATGTATTTTTCATATTAATTTTCATCAGTAATGACTACAAATAAATATAACCTCACAAACATGTCCAGCTTCCAAGAATATATTTCAGTGATAAAGCAAAGAACAAATGCTGATAACATAAGCACACATTAACTTTGACTGTAATTATCAATACTTAAATTAATGCTTTTTTCTCAGAGAATAGTTCATTTTGCCATAATAATTTAGACATTTTAAAATATGTATATTAAAATTAAAACTTTTGCTGGTTTTGGTAATCTTTTGTATTTTAAAATAATGGTGTTCCTTTCAAAATCTAGAGCATTGTTTCTAGGTCCCATTTGGAAGCTACCCCTAACTTTAAAAAAATTTTTTTTGTTTAAGATTTTATTTATTATTTACTAGAGAGAGAGAGAGAGAGCATGAGCAGGGGGAGGGGCAGAGGGAAAGGGAGAGTATCTGAAGTAGACTCCACACTGAGCACAGAGCTTGTCACGGGGCTCCATCTCATGACCCTGAGATCATGACCTGAGCCAAAGCCAAGAGTCAGATGTTTAATCAACTGAGCCACCCAGATGCCCCTAACATTTTTTTAAAAAATTAAATTAGTTTTAATAAATTGAGTTCATCCTTTCACTTGTTTAAGAAAAAAAAACTCTATTTACATTACCCAAAATATACTAAAAGTATTGTTATTTCATTCCAGATCAGAGATACTAAGTCAGCAGATCAAAAAACAACCCTCTTGCATTTTATTGCTGAAATTTGTGAGGAAAAATACCGTGATATCCTGAAATTTCCTGAAGAACTGGAACATGTAGAAAGTGCAAGCAAAGGTAATTGATTACTATTTTGAAACTATTCTTTGCCTGAATATTATATTTTAAGTGGTAAGATTAAAAAACATTTATTTTATTTTTTCTGTTTACTGATACTTGAAAAGCAAGAAGATAGTTTCCATTAGCTTATGTTTGCTAGTATAGTACATTTAATGATCTCTTTTTTACTTATGTCATTTTTTAACATTGTTAGGTTATTGACACTTTCACATCTCTGATCTGATAGTATGTTCACTCATTCATTTCATAAATACTTAAGTGCATATTGTTTACAATGGAACTATACCATGGGCTTTTCATGATATCACAATGATTGTGAGACAGTTCTTGCTTACGGATTTTCTCACTGTTTCTATTACTCCACATTAGTCACATGTTAGTAAATATGACTCTAGTCACAAATGTGTGTTGTTAAATTGAAGAGCCAAGATACAGAAGTTCTTTAGAAAAGCAATTGCCAGAGAACTGATGCTATATTGCAGTAAGTATAATTTAGCATCATATCTTAAAGGTTTTTATTTTAATAAAGAAAATAATGGTACTCTGGAATCCTACTGTATTCCTATTGTTATTCTGGTCCTCGTACCACAAAATGAGATACACTGGATTAAATCAAAGAAATACATTAAGGGTTTGATTGATAATACCAGACAAGGAGAGATGACCATTGAACAATATATATTTTTTTAAGATTTTATTTATTTATTTGGGCGAGGGAGAGGGGAGAGAGAGAGAGTCTTAAGCAGACTCCACACTGAGTGTGGAGCCCAACACGGGGCTGAGACCACGGCCTGAGCTGAAACCAAAAGTTGGAAGCTTAACTGACTGAACCACCTATGTGCCCTGACTGCTGAACAATATTATACAAACAGTATTCTGGGTTTTATAGACATATATTTTTTCCCCTTCAACAAACACTAACAGGTTTATATCGTTTATAATAAACTTGGGAAAGGTATATGCTTTTGAGTCCTTATTGAAAGTCCTGAGTTATAGGGAAATGGAGAATTTTTAATTGGAAACATGAGAAATGTCACAAATAAGGACAATCATTAGATCATTTCAGTGTTATCACTACTTTTTGATTGCCCTTTACCAGAATTTCTTTTTCTAAATTTTATTTGTTTAATACGTCATTTCAATTTCAAAAAGATTTTGACAAGTCTGTCAAGAACATGTTTAAATAAAATGATGTCAATTTTACAGTGATTTTTAATTCCTGATTTTTAAATTTTTAGTTCTTACATTGAGGATACTTTACATAAACATATCCAATAAACACTTTTAGTCAAAATAATCTGGAACAACTGTAATGAAATGGACAATGAAGTTTATATCAGCTTTGATTTTAAGTCTAAGCTCTAGCTTATCTATATTTCTATATTTCTATGTCTATATCTATATAAATTTATACAAACTTTTAACCTCTATTGTTATTGATGAAGTTAGCTTATAGCGCACAGCCTTTTGAGTTAGATGTTATAAAGTTCTAATCCTAGCTGGTAACTTCTTAGTTCTGTAACTTTGAGCTAGTAATTTAAACTTCCACATTTTTGTTTCCTCATCTGTAAAATGGCAGTGATAGTAACAAGAAGATCACATGAGTTGACATGTTTAGAGTATTCAATAAAAGGCGTGGCACTTAGTAAATATGTAGCTGTTGCTATACCACTATCTTTATTAGTAGTAGTAGTCATAATATGTGATATACTGCTATGAATATTGTAGTTCCTGCTATTGTCTTGTTAGAAGTGGATAATTATAAGGGTGCCTATGGTTCCTATAGTCTCAGCTAACTATGTATTATATCCAGTTCTGTTTGTTTGTTTCCTGTGTCTGGGCTTTTGGTAAATACTTTCATATTTTTATTTTATACTATCACCAACTTCTTTCTCCCCATCTCTGTCAAGAGCAAAATGTCTCTGTTGTATCTTGATTATTTCTGCTTTTCTGTATTTTTCCTGCCAGTGTTTTCAAAAGATTGTTGCCAGAAATCCTCTTCTATCTTACTATTAGGACCATAGCCATACCTACTCTTGTTATTTTGACTAGTTCTTTTTTCTTTCCCTATGAAATTCACTCTCAACTCAAATTCTTAAGCACATTCCACCTGCTTCCATCCATCTTTCATTTCCTCCCTAGTTCTCATTTCAGTGTGCCAAGACATATATTCTCTTGAGCCTTTTTATTCCTTTCTGATAACCCTGTCTCTGTGTATGATTTCATGCTGCATCCTATGCCTAGAAATCTCACCTGCCCTGTCCTCTAAGACAACTGACTATCATTCGTCAAATCCCTGTTCAGAGTCCATTTTTAAAAAATATTTTGCTACTAAAGCCCTAGGAAGAAATACTCTGGAATTTGGTTTACAGGGGAAAAACAAAACAAAACAAAAAAAAACCAGGGTGAAGGGTCAAGTCAATTACCTCTCATTTATAGTTAAATACTTTTCCTTGATATTTGAGTCTAACTTGTTTGGTTAATATACAGTTCGGTCTTGTTTGAATCACCTTGTGTCACCTCTAGTACTGTACATAGCATGTATATAGTCAACCAGGAAAAACACAAATTGGTCAGTACTATATAATCAATATTATTTGATAATGAACTGTCTTGATGTGAAACGATCGCCTTCAAAAATACAAAAAGTACCCTTCTTTTCAAACTAGAGGGATATCAATAAGATGAAATAAATTAATGATTGAATTATATGTCATATTTATTTTTTTGAGATTATTTGAGAGAGAGAAGGAGAAAGAGAGTGAGCAGGGGGAGGGGCAGAGGGAGAGGAATCTCAAGCTGACTTCCCAAAGAGCGTGGAGAGCGACACAAGGCTAGATCTCATGACCCTGAGATTATGACATGTGCTGAAATCAAGAGTCGGGTGGTTAACCAACTGAGTCATCCAGGTGCCCCTATAACTTATAGTTAGAGAACAATTGTTTGACTACTAATAACTTTTTATATGTTTTTGGATTTTTGGAAACCAAATATCAATTTTGATAACATAAAGATCTTTTCTGTCTGGTATCACAATTAAATTTCAGTTGAGTAGTAGAGTTATAGGCCTCAAATTGACTGACAAATAAAATGCCTTAAATGAAAGGAAAACTGAAGGTAGGAAATATGTGTGATCTGTGGATAAATTTATTTTATAATTGTGTTTATTCTTTAGCTAAGCTTCTAAAATTCTGTGTATCTTTGAATGTGCAAAACTGTGGTGTAAACTTAGCATATTTTACCATATATATTATAGCATTTATACATATTTTAGCATATTTTCCTAGACCTCTGTTAACTCAAAGATATTGGGGGGAAACATCATCGTCACATTTAAACAGATATATATTATGAAACAGAATTCAAAATCCACATGAATTTTTAAAAAATGAAACAGATGACTTCAAAGAAATTTCACACTTGCAGTAGATCCCCAAGGGTGAGTGTTCATTCTTCTCTTCCATTTGGGGTACCTGGAAAGAAAAGTTTATGAGGCATTGCCTAAAGAATGATACAGTGGTTTTGTTTTGGTTTGGCTTCACTTATTTATCTATTTAGTTATTGCCAGGAGCGGGGAAGCAAGCAGTGAGGGTTAGGGAGTAGAGTACCTAACTTTCTTCTAAACAGACATTCTCATATCCTTACGAAGTTCAGCATCAAACACTACAGTGTCATTTTATTACCAGTGAAATTAATAAAATAAAATTGCTCTGGTCATTTCATTTTAGGCTAAATTATAAATCGGCAGGTCCTCTCATTCATGTTTGAAATACCAATGAGTCTTTAGAGAGAGAAGAAAAATGGTTGCTATAGAAACTCTGATGCCTTTAAAATACTGTTTTTTTAAAAAGATTTTACTGGTTATTTGAGAGAATGATAGAGTATGAGCAGTGGGGAAAGGCACAGGGAGAGTGAGAGGCAGACTCCCCACTGAGCAGAGAGCCCCATGTGGAGCTCAATCCCAGGACCCTGGGATCATGACCTGAGCCGAAGGCAGATGCTTAATCTACTGAGCCACCCAGGCACCCCTAGAATACTTTTGATAAACCATAGTTACCTTTCCTACTGTGGCTATCACTTTAACTTTGAGCTTTAAGGATTTTTACAGTTTGATTTAAAACCTCTAGTGTTTTATGGATTGGCTCCAGGGATTAAACCAAAAGAGCTATTAGTAAAGTTTAATTAAATCTTTTCACTCAACAGGGAAAAATTATTTTACTGTATTTGAAAGCACTATTAATATATGTATTTACATACATAAATATGAAACGGGTTTCACTTCAGTTAAATTAGTGCAATCTTACAAAATAAAAGCTGTTAAATGTCCTATAAACAGTGTTAATTTCTTAAGAATTAAATCAATTATTATAAATTTTCATGACCAGCTGTACCTTTTGATATCTGCCATCTTTCCATGTAATATTAGTAACTGATCAGCTATTTATCTACTCTGACTTCTTTATAAAAAGTTCAGACTAGAGGAAATACTATAAGGAAAAATGCATGAAATAAAGACAAAGGAAAATGTAAAATAATAGAGTAAAAAAGTTGGGGGAACAATAGCAAGAAAAAGCCAAAATATTTTCCAAAACTCCTGAGCTGGCAGAAGCTTTAGACATCATCTCATCCCTGCTAAAAAGGATACATGATGGCAATTCATCCAGATTCATTATTTTATAGTTCAAGAAACTGAGGCCCAGAATGATGAAGGAATTGTCCATGATCACATAACTAGATTGGAGAATCGAGGAAGGTTTGCAGACTTTGGAGTTATTTTATTACATATTTTTCAGCTCCATTTTTGCTTCTTTTTTGGTTTAAAATACACAACAGGGATTTATGCTCATATTGGAGTAAATGCCAACTAAATAAAAGATTTATTGGAGTGTAAATGTTACTATGTCCTCTGTGTCATGGTCTATAGTCTCTGCAGCCCCACTTTGACAGAATTACCCTCTCCTTTCTTTGTGTCACAGCAACACTTCACCCTTATTAGT